AGCGAGAAATCACCCCCCAGGGGGGATGGTCACGCCGCAATCCCTTCTCCTCCATTCTCCTCTCGGGATCTTGGGCACGCACGCACACGTGCCCGGCGTGAGTTTTAAGCCACCGGGTCCGGGACACGAACCGCGGTCGACTACGTGGGAGTCCAGCGACATAGCCATTACGCTAACTGCTGGTTCCCCCCTTATATTTAGCTCTGACACAGATTGAGATGAGTATTTTTAGAGAGCTCTCCATTAACATTTGCTTTGTTTGCTGCTGATTGTTTCCTCAAAGCCTAAGATTGCTTTGCTAATCTGTTTGCTTTTAAGACTTATTAGAGAATGGGACCAGCAGTTGGCGTAAAGGCTATGTTGCTGGACTCCCAGGCAGTCGACCATGGTTCAAGTCCTGGACCCGGTGGCTTAAACTCACGCCGGGCGCATGTGCGTGCGTGCCCAAGATCCCGAGAGGAGAATGGAGGAGAAGGGATTGTGGCATGGCCATCCCCCCTGGGGGGTGATTTCTCGCTTTCTGTCTCTATGTCTCTCTCTGTCTTTCTGGCAAGCGCATGCATCCTATAGCAAACACTTCTCAAAAAAAAAAAAAAAAAGAAAAGAAAACTTATTAGAGAGTATTGGTAACATATACAAAAGTAGAAAGAATAGTGGAATTAACTGTCATGTACCTTCTGTCGGCTTCACAAAATCCCACCTTGAGGTAAGAGACAGGGACTCTAAAAATATAGTTAGGCTATAGGCCCGAAATGGAATAAAAAATGGCTAAATATTTTTTAAAGATTTTTTAAAAAAATTTAATTTTATTTACTTATTTAATTTGACCAGATAAGGGGGTGGGGGGAGAGAGCAAGCAAGCGGCTAGGTCCGGGATTCAAACTGTGGTCGGCCATGTGGGAGTCCAGTGCCCTTAACCAGCATGCCACGTTCTGGCCCCCAAAATGGCTAAGTTTGGGAGTCCAGTGCCCTTAACCAGCATGCCAGCTACATTTTAAGATGAAGACATGGGCCAGCAAATGGCATGGTAGCTGAGGTGCTGGACTCCCACATGGCTGACTGCGGATAGAGTCCCAGATACTGGACTCCCACGTAGCTGACTGTGGTTAGAGTCCTAGACCTGGTGGCTTGTTTTCTCATTTTCTTTCTCTCTTTGCCTCTCTCTGGTGATCACATGTACCCTATAGAAAATTAAAAAAAAAAAGACAAATAAAAACTAGATAATTCTTAAAAAGAGAGAGAGACAACAGCTCAGCAGCTGCTCACCTCTCACTAACCTGCTTCTCACAAGAAATGCCTTGCATCAGTGACTCACTGATTAACCTAGCATGACCTAACACAAAAATAGCAACTCATTTTCTTCCAGGTCCCACCACATTCCAAGAAGATAATGGTTTTTATAACCCAAAGCTTTTAGATGAAGAGAGTCTCATGGCCTTCCTGTCTACTCCAAAATTAGAAAATGAATAACCAGACCCATCTAACATGTGATCTCCTAGCATGAGGGGAATACATGCATAAGTCCCTCCTGAGAACTAGCCAAACAAAACCTCTCCTAACCAAGACAAAAACACCTTGCTTGGGACCAGCAGAGGGGGTAGTGGTTAAAATGCTGCATTCTCACATGGCTGACTGTGATTTGAGTCCCAGAGCTGGCAGCTTGAAACTCATGCTGGGTGTGTGTGTGCATGTGTGCCCCAAATTCTGAGAGGAGAATGGAGGAGAAGGGATTGTGGTGTGGGTCATCTCCCCTGGAGGGTGATTTCTCACTTTCTCTCTCTCTGTCTCTCTGGTGCCTACACATGCTCTATAGCAAACAAACAAACAAACAAAAACAAAAACAAATACAAAAACTCTCCAAAGAAAGAAAAAAGAAACCTCTGCCAGGAGACTCCTCTTTGATAACTCATTCTTCAGACCCATCTCTGCCTGAAAGCTCGATTCCTCTTTCCACTCTTAATAAATTCTACCTTACTATCCCTTCCCCGTGTCTGTGTCTCTAATTCTTCATAAGCTTGAGACAAGAACCCCGGTTAGCTTGCAGCTCCAGATTTGGCACTGGTGTTGGGGCTGGGCACCCCAACTTCCTGTGTCAACTCTGTCTACTCCTCGTTGTAAACCTCATTTTTCCAGATGTTCCTGATATCTGTTCTGAAAGTCCGCTGGTCAGATTCCCTGTATTAACCCATAACCCTCATGACATACAGCTTACATTTAATGATTCCATCCTCTCCATAGGAATAACATGGGGAAACCAAATTATGACTGTTAATTGTAATGACAATGCCTCAAGATCAACGCACATGTTTAGCTCAAAGGTAAACTTCATGTTATTGCAACAAATCTAATAGGTGACCCTTATGTTTTCATGAGATATAATTTATCTAAAAAATTATACCAGCTAACTATGACTAAAACACACACTCACATGGGGCCAGCAGGTGGCATGGTGGTTAATTTGCTGGGTTTCCGTACTGGGCCTGGCAGTTTGAAATTCACACCAGGCATGTATGCATGCATGCCTAGAATCCCAAGAAGAGAATGAAGAAAGGATTGCAACATGGCCATCCCCCCTTTGGGGGCGTAATTTCTCACTTTCCCTCTCACTGTCTCACTCTGTCTCTGGCATATGCACACACCCTATGGTAAAACCTAAAGCACACACACACACGCACATGCACACACATATATACAAAATAAACAAAAACAGACTCATTCATTAAACCAACTTCAGAAGAGGTATAATTGGATGCTGTCACTACCAATCATTTCTGCTAAGAGTTACTAAAGACTAACATGAGGCAAAAACCTTTTGTGTAGATTCCCCACAAGGCTCTGGGGTAGAGTGGGCAGTTTGAATCTAGTTGTGTACGGATGTGTGAAGAAGTCATTTGTAGGACCTGCAGTTAGCCTAATGGCTATGTCGTTGAACTCCCATGTAGTTGATCACGGTTCGCATCCTGGACCCGGTGGCTTAAAACTCACACCCAGCACGTATGTGTGTGTGTGCCCAAGATCCCGAGAGGAGAATGGAAAAGAAGGGATTGTGGCATGGCCATCCCCCCGGGGGGTGATTTCTCACTTTCTGTCTCTATGTCTCTCTCTGTCTGTCTGGCGAGCACACGCAACCTATAGCAAAAACCTCTCCAAAAAAAGAAAAAGTCATTTGTTCCACAAACTGAGACCAGTGTAGCATATTCCTGAATGTTAGATAATATTTTTATGCAGGAAATGAAAGAGAAGCCAAATGACCCTCTTACAAACCCCTGGATATCTAAGAGTTTCTGTCCAATCATTTATTTTAATCAGGTTTAGCCTTAAGAAGAGCAAATAGTGACATAAACTATGTTTACTATCAGATAAACATTAGAATGAATGTCAAGTTTCCCTAAAATAATCCCAATGCAATTCGGTTAGAATGATACTAGATTTATAGGTAAATCTGAAGGGAATTACTATTGTCATAGTGTTGGTTCTTTCCATTCCAAGAATGTAGCATAAATCTTCATTTAAACAACTTTTATTTTAATGACCTATGATAAAATTTTGGGTTTCTTAAGTTTTGTTGTTGTTGTTGTTGTTGTTGTTTTTGCTATAGAACATGTGTGCTCACATCCCTGGGAGGATAGCCAGCAATCCCTTCTCACAATTTTGGCCATGCCTGCACACGCATCTGGCAAGCTTTCCAAGATGCTTGGTCTGGGACTTGAACCATACAGTTGGCCATCTGAGATTCATCCATCTTAACCACCAGGCCTGCTGGCCCTTCTCTAGTTCTTTTTCTTTCTGGAGACATTTTTGCTATAGGGCACGTGAGCTTACAAGAAAGACAGAGAGAGACAGAGAGACAGAAAACGAGAAATCACCCCCCAGAGGGGATGGCCTTGCCACAATCCCTTCTCCTCCATTCTCCTCTTGGGATCTTGGGCACGCACGCACACGTGCCCAGTGTGAGTTTAAGCCACTGGGTCCAGGACTTGAACCGCGGCCGACTACGTGGGAGTCCAGCGACATAGCCATTACGCCAACTGCTGGTTCCGTAGTTCTTTAACCTCTTTCCATGACCTCTTATTATAGCTCTATAACTAGTAATCAAAATCTATTATGGAGAACCCAAAATACAATAAGATGTTATTTCTATTGCTTGGACACAAATTGAGATCAATTCATAAAATCATGTACTCTGGGAAAATTGTAGTTGTTCATTTATTGTAAGGATCTTAATAAGGAAATATTCTGTTGAAAATGATCAGACTTGAAACATGCCAGTTATTTTTCTTTTTGTCTTTATTAATAGATTTGAGGGCCAGCAGGGGGTCTGGTGATTAAGGTAGCTGGATTCCACATGGCTGACTCCATGGTTCAAGTCCCAGACCCGGAGGTTTGAAAAACATGCAGGGTGAGTGTAGGTGTGGGCATACCTAAAATCCCAAGAGGAAAATGGAAGAAAAGGGACTGTAGTGTGGCCATCCCCTTGAGAGGAGATTTCTCACTTTCTTGCCTCTCTCTAGCAAGCACATATACCCTATAGCAAAACTAAAATAATAAGAATTTTCTTAAAAAATATTTTTTAAGATTCATTTAATTTTATTCATTCATTCATTCATTCATTTTAATTGGACCAGAGAGAAATACACAGAGAGAGAGAGAGGGAAGGAAAGTGAGAAAGCAAGCCACCAGGTCCGGGACTCAAACCATGGTCAGCCATGTGGGAGTGTCCAGTGCCTTAGCCACCAAGTTTTTTCTTTCTTTTTCTTTTTTTGAGAGAGGGATTTTCACTATAGGGCACGTGTGCTCACTGGTGAGACAGAGAGAGACGAAGAGACAGAAAGCGAGAAATCACCCCCGGGGTGGGAGGGAATGGCCACAGCGCAATCCCTTCTCCTCCATTCTCCTCTCTGCATCTTGGGCACACACGCACACGCGTCCATGTGAGTTTCAAGTCTCCAGATCCAGGACTCGAACTATGGTCAACATGTGGGAGTCCAGCGACGTAACCATTACGCCACCTGCTGGTCCTGGGTTTCTTCTAATTCTATTTTCCAGTATTTCGTGTGGACTCAAAGGCAGCTCCAAACCAGGAAGCACACAGACTCACATGCGAAAAGTTTCAAGAGAAGCCTTCACTTCCTGGCAAAGAAACCAGGAAGATAACTTTGTGGTTTCCTACAGAAAGCTACCTGCTTTTTTTTTTTTTTTTTTTTAATATTTTAAATTTTATTTGCTCATTTACTTATTTTATTTTGACCAGAGAGATACAGAGAGAGAGAGAAAGTGAGAAAGCAAGCCACCAGGTCCAGGACTTGAACCATGGTTGGCCATATGGGAATGTCCAGTGCCTTAACCACCACACCACCTTTGGGTCCCCCTCCTGGTTTGCTTTTCTCTTTCTCCTTTTACCCATGCCCTTCTCCCCAGCACCCAGGTACTCCTGAAGCAAAGAGTAACAGGCACCTAAACTCCGACAGAGGGAGCCTTTTCCCGGATCAGAAGGGCTATACTCCCAGTGCAGAGGTGAAAGGGCTTTTTCTCTGTCTCTGGCTTCCTGAGCTTGTCTCTGATGTAGATGCGGTCACAGCAACTGGCCAGAGGAGCACCAAAAAGGACCTCACATAACCTCGGGTGCCGGGGAATTACAGAGAACACTAAGCTCAAAAGAGCTCTCCTATAGGGGACCAGCAATTAGCGTAATGGCTATGTCGCTGGACTCCCACATAGTCGACCACGGTTCGCATCCCAGACCCGGTGGCTTAACACTCACGCCTGGTGCATGTGCGTGCGTGCCCAAGATCCCGAGGGGAGAATGGAGAAGAAGGGATTGCGGCATGACCATCCCCCCTGGGGAGTGATTTCTCGCTTTCTGTCTCTGTTTCTCTGTCTGTCTGGCGAGCGCACGTGCCCTATAGCGAAAACCTCTCCAAAAAAATCAAGAAAGTAGTTAGATTACTTATGATATTGTGTGATGATCAACAAAATGTTGGGGGGAAAAGGAATGGAAGACAACTGTAGACAGCAGAGATAGGGTAATAAGAGAGTGGGAAAGGGCAGAGGGTCAAACATGGGGTAAAAAACATATACACACACACACATATATATAAAAGTAGAAATGGAATATTATTGATATAACATGCATGATTAGGCCACTATGCAGTTTATTCTAGATGGGAAACCACATTTAGTATGTTGTGATGATGCTCAAGGAATGAATGTAAATTAATTTAAAAAAAAAGTTTCGGGAGAAAAAAACCCACTAAAACTGTTCTTATTGAAATAAAAAAAAAAGAAATATGTACTTCCAGAAATATTAACTAACAAAGAAATGAGTAAGACAAAATATAATTGTAAATTTCTTTTATTGTAATGTTCTAAAAAAATACAGAAAAAAGAGTTGTGACGGTATGAATAAATTCAATATGGTTATTACTTGTTAAAAAAAAAAAAATCTCTCCTATAAAACGGTGCCAGACCTGGTTTCAGACGGCTTCCAAAAGGCTTGAGAGTGGAAATTTGGGACTTGGCCACTGGGTGGCGCACACACACAGGACACTGAATGTCACTGCAAAGCCCTGGAAAACTTCCCCCAAACGGAAACCGACATTGGAGCCACAGCTCACAGAAAGGGGGTTCGAAATCACAGCCTGAACCTACTCCGGCAGACAGACTGCTAAACAAACAAACAAATCAACAATCTCTTCAGGATATACACAAGACCCAGCCTCTCATAAATACTCAAAATGCCCAGGAGCCAATTCAAAATAATTTAGCATCTGAATTGCCAGAACAATCTCGGTTTTCGAGAGAAAGAACGAATAAAAGATTCCAACAGTGAGAAGACACAGAGGATGGAATTATCCGAGACTATAAAGCAGTTGCTAGAAACGTGCCCCAGAAGTAAGGGTGAATACACTTGAGGTGGTTGGAAAAATAAGTCTTAGCAAAGAAACACATTGTAGAATGGAGAAATCGTAGAATGGAAAACTGTAGTCATGGTGATTAAATTTTTTTTTTTAAAAAGATTTATTTAATTTTATTTATCGTTATTATTATTATTTTGGAAAGGTGCTTGCTATAGGGCATGTGTGCTCCCCAGAAAGACAGAGAGAGAGAGACAGAAAGCGAGAAATCACCCCCCGGGGGGATGGTCACGCTGCAATACCTTCTCCTCCATTCTCCTCTCGGGATCTTGGGCACGCACGCACACGCGCCCGGTGTGAGTTTAAGCCACCAGGTCCGGGACGCGAACTGCAGTTGACTACGTGGGAGTCCAGCGACATAGCCATTACGCTAACTGCTGGTCCCAGGAAGTTTAATTTTTGAACTCAGCAGGTCCTGACCCTTTTATATTCCTCCAAATCTGCCTCCAAAACGTAATTAATTCCATCTCTTGTTTGTATCTCTTCTTGTATTTTATCCGTAGGTAGCTAGAAGGCGTTATCCTTTTCTGCATTCTTCCTGGACCTTCCCCTATTTATTCCCATGCACTCACCAAAAAGACAGAAAGAGACAGAGAGACAGAGAGCGAGAAATCAGTCCCTCAAGGTAATGGCCACGCTGCACCCAAAGGCCAGACCTTCTTAAAAAAAAAACAAAAACCAAAAAACAAAAAACTGCAACAACAACAAAAAAATCCCCTTTGTTGCTGTCATCTTTTGCTTTCCTTTTTTTTTTTTTTTAAAGATTTTTGCTGTAGGGAACATACACTCACTAGAGACAAAGAAAGAGAGAGACATGAAAAGGGAAAGTGAGAAATCACCCTCCAGGGAGGATGGCCATGCCAAAAATTAAGAAATTAAAAAAAAAAAAGTTGGTTTGTGGTGATGAAACTGCCTTTCCCCCTGTTCTTTCTGAAAATATCTCACCCTCAAGACACACACCCAATGCCAGCTCTTTGTGAAGTCTTCCTTCTCTGCGGGGGGAGTATTAGCAGCCTGGATTATGTTTTCATGGTTCTTTGCATCTCTAATCTGGAGCTTACTTACTTCCTCCACTAGACCTTGTCCTCAGAAAATCCTAGTTGATCCTCACCTAGATCACAAGCTGATTAACAAATACATATGACAGTATATAGCAGGACCAACAGTTGGCGTAATGGCTATGTTGCTGAACTCCCATGTCGTCGACCGCGGTTCAAGTCCTGGACCCAGTGGCTGAAACTCACGCTGGGTGCGTGTACGTGCGTGCCCAAGATTCCGAGAGGAGAATGGAGAAGGGATTGTGGTGTGGCCAACCCCCTGAGGGTGAGTTCTCACTTTCTGTGTCTCTGTCTCTTTTTTTTTTTTTGAGAGGTTTTTCACTATAGGGTGCCTGCGCTCGCCAGACAGACAGAGACAGAAAGGGGGATGGCCATGCCGCAATCCCTTCTCCATTCTCCTCTCGGGATCTTGGGCACGCACGCACACACGCCCGGCGTGGGTTTTAAGCAACCGGGTCCAGGACGTGAACCACGGTCGACTACGTGGGAGTCCAGCGACATAGCCATTAGGATAACTGCTGGTTCTCTCTTTCTGACGAGTGCACACGCCCTGTAGCAAAAAAAAAAAAAAAACTCTCCAAAAATAAAAACAAAAACTACTAGTCACTGATGCTCATTTTTGCATTACTCACGCTCAATTCCCAAGTAATGACAGTATTAGTAGATTATTTTTGACGTTCGGTCACTCACCTGACATAGGTGAGATTGAATCTAACGGGCAGTTGGAAGTCCAGCTGAATCGTAGCACATTGATGGTATCTGCCTATGGCATCCTTGATTTTGATATCAATCTGTAAGTTAAACGGTGCTTGCTTAGACACAGTTTTTATTTTCCTTAATTGTACTCCTTTTTGAAGCTTATAGTCTACTTACTTTAGGACCATAAAACGCTCCATCTCCTGGGTTCACTTGCCACGGTTTTCCAAATTCCATCAAGCTATTCCGCAGTTGCTGTATTTTTTTTTTAAAAGAAGAGAATATTTAAGACTTCGGCTTCATTGTGTGTTCCCTTTTTTGTCATACAGCTCATAAAACTGTTCTTATGAATCTTTATTACATTCCATATTAGTTCAGAACATATTTTTTAAATGATTTTATTTCACTTTATTTATTTATTTATTTATTTTAATTTGACCAGAGAGGGACAGAGTTAAAGAGAGAAGAGAGAGGGAAAGCGAGAAAGCAAGCTGCCAGGTCCGGGATTTGAACTGCAGTTGGCCATGTGGGGGTCCAATGCCCTGAACCACTGCACGCACCACCTGCAGGCTCCAGTTCAGAACATATTTATTGAACATCTTCTACATTCAAGAAACTATTGAGAAGGAACTACATGAAGATGACTAAGATGTGACATGTTTCCAAAAGACACGTACTTTTTTTTTCTTTAAGAGAGTTTTTTTTTTTTTTTTGCTATAGGGCATGTGCGCTTGCCAGATAGACAGAGAGAGACAGAGAAACAGAAAGTGAGAAATCACCCTCCTCCAGGGGGGGATGGCCAAGCTGCAATCCTTTCTCCTCCATTCTCCTCTCGGGATCTTGGGCACGCATGCACATGTGCCCGGCCTGAGTTTAAGCCACCGGGTCCAGGACGTGAACCGCAGTCAACTACGTGGGAGTCCAGTGACATAGCCATTACGCCAACTACTGGTCCCAAGACACGTACATTTTAAAAAGTATTATTTATTTATTATTTTTTAATTTGACCTAAAAGAGACAGTAAGAAAGGGAAAGTGAGAAAGTAAGCCACCAGGGACCAGCAGTTAGTGTAATGGCTATATTGCCGGACTCCCACATCGTTGAC